TCTTCCTCATCCTCCTCCTCCTCCTCCTCTTCGTTCTGCTCCCTCTTCCTACCCTCCCTACCCTCTCTTCCGCCTCATCATCATCAGGCGTGGCATCGCTGGCCAAGGAGCCTCAAGGTCTTGGGTCAGGGTCGGGTCGGCCAACACTTCTAGCTTTTCCTTCATGATCCGGAGTGGTCATCCCTCGTCTGCCCCTTCGGCTGCTTGCTGCTGCTTTTGCGTGTCGTCGTCCCGTCGCGTGGCCCTGGCACTGCGCGCCCGCTGGTGCCTGAGAGACGGGTCGACCACCGCCGTCCTCCCCCTGCGTTTTGGGGAGAAGAGAGTCCGAGGCGGAGACTTTCGCACAATCACCGCCTGGGCGATCGATCTTCTGGGTCCCAGGAAGTCGGTTCCCGGGGCGGTGGATCTGGGTATTGTCGAAACCAATGGTGAGGATGGGTAACATTCCCAAGGGTGCCCTTGCATCTGAACCCCTCTAGTCCATGCTTGACTACTTTCGATGGCCCGCCGCGCTCGAAACAATTCAACCACGGGCGTCCAATGGGCTTGCGTCCTTATTGCGCATCTTCACCATCAGTGAGGGTGACTTTACATCCCCTCCTTCGCAGAGAGCGTGCCGAACTATGCGTCCCTGGGCTCGGCAATGTACGGGGGTGCATCGAGGCTCTGGCTGCTGCTCTGGCTCGCGGGGCCATGCCCCGGGGATGCGGGTTGCGCACGGGGCCTGTAGGTTTTGGCCTTTACTCTTCCTGTAGAATGGGTGCCCCAGGCTGATCCGCCGCCTCCTCCCTTCCCTTCCTCCTCCCCCTCTTCCCTTTCCTCCTCCGCCTCATCATCATCATCATCCCTCCTCCTCTGCCTCCTCCTCACAATCATCATCATCCTCATCCTCATCGTCATCATCATCATCATCATCATCATCATCATCATCATCATCATCATCATCATCATCATCGTTATCATCATCATCAGCATCATCATCTATCATCACCCGTCTTTCACCATCCACCATTCATCATTGATCAGCCACCATCATCATCATCATCATCATCAGCATCATCATCATCATCATCATCATCATCATCATCATCATCATCATCTTCCACATCACCCCTCATCTCGAATCAGGTACCGTCTGCGGTCCACCATTCACCATGCCTCATTCATCACCATCATCATCATCGCCGCCGTCAGCATCACCCCCATCACCATCACCATCCGTCATCCGTCATTCATCACTGCGCATCCATCATCATGTGCCATCATGCAGCATTCAACATTCAGCATTCTCAGTATCACCATCATTATGTGCGTCATCATCAGCATCACCATCGTCACCATCAGCACCATCATCACAGCCATCTATCATCCACCAGTCATTGCTCATCATTCGCCAGCATCACCCACCATTCATCTTATCCGTATCAACAGAAGCATCACCATCATCACCATAAGCATTACCACCATCAAACTCACCACCATCTTCATCATCACCATAGTCGCCATAATCAGCATAACCAACATTAACGCTATCACCGTCATCATCCCTCGGCATCACACTGGCCACGATCATCATTTTACATCATCATCATCAACTGCACGACCGCCATTACCCATCATCATGATTTCTTAAGCAGCATAACCATTAATCGTTATCACCAGTATCACCACCATTAATCATTATCACCACCATTTCATTAGCATCGTGAACACTTGTTACCGCACTCATTGTTCATCATCATCATCATCATCATCATCATCATCATCATCACCACTTGCCACTATCAGTTGTCATCATCATCGCTACTTGTCGCCCTCATTCAACATGCATCACCATCACCACTCAACATAAGCCATCACCGCTCATCATCATTATCGTCACTCGCACTATCCGTCATCACTTGCGAGCATTATCCCTCATTCTCATCATTATCCGTATCATCAGCCTCGTTCTTCGTACCCATCGTCATCACTTAGCCCCAACCAGTACCGTTGATCTTCACCAGCAAACATCATCACCGTCGTTCATCATCCGCATTTGTCATCGTCATCTTCACTCTTCAAGTTTAGTGTCGTCATCGTTCACCTTATCCCCCATCATTTTTTATTCGTTATCCATCGCCCAGCACCATCGTTCATCATCTACGACATCCATCACCAGCCATCACCATTATCATGTACTACCAGCGCCTTTATTATCATCGCTCATCATGATTTTCACCATCATTCATCATAACCACCTGCAGCCACCAATTCACAACATCACCACATAAGCATCATCATATTTGTTTTTTTGAATCATTCGGTTTCCCATTCATCATCAACTTTACAAGTGATCTACATCATCATTATCCATCAGTGTAACCACTCATCAGCATCATCACCATCATCGCTCACCATCATCGTCATCAGCACCACCATGCACCATTCATCATCATCACCGTCGTCATTGTTTTCACCTTCGCCAATCACCAGCATCACCAATCATCATTATCATCATCATCATCATCATCATCATCATCATCATCATCATCATCACCCTTCGTCGGCACTGAACATCATCGTTCTCCACACACACCATTCACAATCACCATCATAATCGTCGCTTGGAGGGTTGGGGGGGTTGGAACCGGACCCCCCCCCTTTAGATGCATGGGGGGGTTTCGAACCCCCCCCCTCCCATGACGGAGGGGGGGGGGTCGAACCCCCCCTCCCCTTTCTCCTCTTTCCCTCTCCTCGGGCCGGCACCTGCGTCGGCGGCGGCTGGCGGCGGCGGCGGGGACGACGATTTCCTTTTCTGGGCCAGCGCTGGCGCCTGCGGCTGCGGCAGGCGGCGGCGGGGAGCGTCGACAATGACGACGGCGACGACGACGTCGACGTCGACGACGACGACGTTCTGCCACCGTGCCTTGGTTTTGAGTCAGGTTCCTACTGGATGCCTCTTGGGTTCTCGTAGGAGGACTCTCGGGGGCCTCTGAACGGCATTTGTGCAGCCTCCTGGGCGCCTCTTTGGTGTCTCTTGGGGACTCTCTGAGGTGGTGGTGGTGGTGGGCTGTGGTGGTGGTGGTGATGGTGGTCGTGGTGGTGGTTGTGGCGGTGGTGGTGGTGATGGTGGTGGTGGTGGTGTGGCAGGTTGTGGTGGTGGTGGTGGTGATGGTTGTGGTGGTGGTGCGGTGGTTTCTGGTGGTAGTGGTGGTAGTTGTGGCGGTAGAGGGGTAAGGATGTGGTGGCGGTGGCGGTGATGGTGTGGTGGTTTGTCGTGGTGGTTGTGGTGGTGGTAGTGATTGTGGTGGTGGTGGTGGTGGTGGCGGTGGCGGTGGTTGTGGGGGTGGTGGTGGTTTGTTTCGGTGGTGGTGGTTGTGGTGGTGGTTGTTGGTGGTGGTGGTGGTATGGTGGTGGTTCGTGGTGGTGGTGGTGGGTTGTGGTGGTGGTGGTGGCGGTGGTGGTGGTTGTGGTGGTGGTGTTCTGGTGGTTTGTTGTGGTGGTGGTGGTTGTGGTGGTGGGTGGTGGTGGTGGTTTGGTGGTGGTATGGTGGTGGTTTGTGGTGGTGGTGGTCGGTTGTGGTGGTTGTTGTGGTGGTTTGGTGGTGGTGGTGGTGGTTTGTGGTTGTAGTGGTGGGTTGTGGTGGTGGCGGTGGTTTGTGGAGGTGGTGCTGGTTGTGGTGGTGGTGGTGGCGGTGGTGGTGGTGGTGTGATGGTTTGTGGTGGTAGTTTGTTGTGCTGCTGGTAGTGGTGGTGTTTGTGGCGGTGTTGGTGGTGGCGTGGTAGATTGTGGTGGTCGTGGTTGTAGTGGTGGTGGGTTTTTGTGGTGGTGGTGGTGATTTGTGGTGGTGCTGGTTGTGGTGGTCGTGGTGGTGGCTGTGGTGGTGGTCGTGGTGGTTGTGTGGTGGGTTGGTGGTGGTGGTGATGGCTGAGGTGGTGGTGGTGGTGGCAGTGGTGGTGGTGGTAGTGGTGGTAGTCGTTGCTGTGCCCCCGCCGTCGGCGCTGCTGGCCGCCGCCAGCGCTGGCGCCGGCGCCAGCGAAGGGGGGGGTTTGGACCCCCCCTACTTTGGCTGCTTCTGGTCATCGTCGCTGCGTCCCCGCCGTCGGCGCTGCTGGCGGCCGCCAGCGCCGGCGCCCGCGCTGGAGGCGGGGGGTGGTTTGAACCCCCCCCCTGGGACGGGGGGGGGGGTCGGGAGCGGGGGGGGTTAGGGGGGAGGAGAGTCCCCCTGGTGCTGATCGACGGCGCCGAGTGTTGGGGGGGGTGAAACGCGCCGCCGAATGTTCCCAAGGCAAGCGCCTGTGAAACGCGCTCTCTCCAACATCATGACCACTACTCATTATTATCACCAGCATCATCACACCATCCTCATCATCATCATCATCATCATCATCATCAGCATCATCGTCAGCATCACCATCATCATGACCATCATCTTCTCCACCACCATCATATCATCGTCATCATCCCCGTCTCCTCCTCCTCATTCATCATCATCACCGTCATCACCACCGCCATCGTTATCATCATCACCAGCATCATCAGCATCATCATCATCAGCATCATCATCATCATCATCATCAGCATCATCATCATCATCATCATCAGCATCATCAGCATCATCAGCATCATCATCGTGCCAGCTCGGGGATTGCTGCACCTGGCCCTCACCTCGCGCTGAGGCTAGCGCTCCGCATCCTGTCGAGCGCGCCATGGGGGACGGCCCGCCGGAGCGCGGCTGCTGCTGGATGTGGCCTCGGCGCCAGTGCCAGCAGGCGGAGGTATTGGAACGCGGGGCGGCTCCAGGCGGTCAAGCGGGAGGCGAGGTTCTGGAGGCAACGATGCGACGCGCTGGCGGCGGAGCAAAAGGCGGCGCGGGAGGCCCAGGACACGGCAGGCGCCGTCGGGGTGCGGGCTGCGGCCGATGCGATCGCGGCAGCCCGCGGCGCGAGCGTGGCTCCCTGCGCGCCGTTTCGCAGTGAAGCAAAGCTGTGCGTGATCGACGGCTGCGTGCTCTAGAGGACGTGCGCCGAGCATGGCATCGAGCAGGAGGGATCCGAGAAGACGGACGTGCTGGACGAGGGCGCCGACCAGGCCGTGACGACCAGGGGCACCGTGCACGGGGCGTTGAGCTCCAAGCAGGCCGTGATCGTCGAGGACGGCGACGTGCTCGACGCGACGTTCGCGGAGCACGTCGAGGGCATCGAGCAGGACGACCTCGAGAAGCAGCTCGTGCCGAACAAGGGTGCCCAGCAGGTCGAGATGTTCAGGGGCGCCGGGCACGGGCCCTGAGCCCCGAGCGGGCCGAGGCAGTCGAGGGCAGCGGCACCCAGCTCCGCGAGGTGGAGAAGGACGGGGAGGCATCGGACGACCTTGGCACTTCACTCGTCCAGCGGGTCCTCACCGGCGGCAGCGCGGTGGCCCTACGTACCCCTTCCCGAATGCCCGCATTGAGGCTTGCCGCGGGGCGATGACCGCCCAGGTGATCGCAGAGGCGTTGGCGGTGGGGTTCGCCGATTCCTTCGTGGTCCACGCCGTCGGAAGCATCATTACGTGGCACCACGCCGTCATCATCGCTCTGTCGGCGCGGTGGCCGTACCTCCTCCCGAACGCCTGCATGGCTTCCTGCATCAATGAGATGCTCGCCCGAGCGACCAAGATCGGGGCGAACGGCGTCGCTGGCGCGGCGCGCGCAGCCACGACGGCGGCGGGCTTGCACGTGCTGCTGGCGACTTTGGCGGGGCGGCTTGGCAGGCGCTGTGCCGTCCGCTGGAGGCACCTCTGCTCACCAAGCGCGTTCCACCACTCGCAAAGTGCATGCTCGCACACGCGCGAAAAACACATGTTCGCTTCGATGAGATTTCTCGTGGACTCCCCGCGGCGGATCCAGGCCATTTGCGAGTAGTCACTTTTGCGAGCAGCGGAACGCGCTCGTCTATCTGCAGGCGCAGGGGCGGCAGCCCAGCAGCGCCGCGGCCGCGGCCGAGCCGCGCGGTGCAGCGGCTCCACGGCGCGGCGCCGACCGCCGCCCCGCGCGCCGGCCGTGGCCGCCCCGGCCAGCGACGCGGGGGCCTGGAGGCCACGGCCGTCGACCGACGGGGCGGCCAGCGAGCCTCCGCGCCAGGGCGCCCGCCGGCACGGCCCAGGCTGGCGGCGTGGAGCGCATGCGCGCGGAGGATCGGGACCCGCTGCCGCCGAGCGATCCGCGCTGGCGCGCCGACCGCGACGGTTGCGCGCACCAGTAGTTTCACGGCGACCCCACCCTTGTGCGTCTTCCCTCGGCGGCCGGATTTGGTCTGGAATTCCGTGCGGCGCTGGCCGGGCCCATCATGGTAGTTATCATCATCATCATCATCATCATCATCATCATCATCATCATCATCATCATCATCATCATCATCATCATCATCATTCCCTTCCCCCTCATCCACCTCTTCCCTTTCCCCCCCCGATGGGGGAGGGGGGGGGGGGGCGCAGGGCGTGGAGGAGGCGCCCGCGTCCCCAGATCGCCGGCATCGGGGGCAGCTGCGCCGTGGCGCCCCTGCGCAACCTGTGCACGAAGGCCCTCCCGGGGACTGGCCCCACCCGACGGCCGTCACGGACGCGCTTCTTTCCTCTTTCCATCTCCCTGTCGAAGAGGAGACAAAAGGCATACATATACTTCAGGAGCTCCAGCGCCAGGGAGGGGATTGAGCGCAGATCCCAGAGATCCGCGCGGACCTTCGAGAGGTTATGTTTATGCCGTTTGTTCGTGTTTACGTGCGCATCCTTCAGATCCAGGCGTCGCGAGTTGCTTGGCAAGCGGAGGCAAACTCCAGGCCCGTGGGCCGTCAACAAAGAAAACGAGATGGAGAGCTTGCCTTGGCCCTGGGGAAAAAGGCTGAGATCCCCTGGGGGCCACGCCATGGAACACATGAATGTCGGACGAGAGGGACGCCGTCCACATCGACGCTCACGCGTCTCTCTGCCGCAGGGAGCGGTTGCACACGGTCTCATTGTTGCGTTCTCCCCCTTCTTCGGGGACCGTTCTCGTGAGTCACCGCTGGACGCAGGCTCGAAACTTGTCGGGACCGTGGCCGCCTTCAAAGAAGAGCTGGGGCCTCTGTCAAGAATCCACCTTCACCGTCTCTTTCCTCCCCTCCTCCTCCTCCTTCCCCTCCGCATCATCATTAATGGGGCCTCGGAGCGCTCCGAGTACCACTGGGCCGTCCTGGGGGGCCCTCTTGGGCAGTCTGAGGCCCAGCAGGGCGACGTCCTGCGCAGGCCCGGCTGGAACCTCGCCCCGCCCGGGGTGCGTCCAGGCGTGCGCAGCCGTCGCCGACTTCCTGCGCCCCCTCTGGGGGTGGGGGGGTCCAGCGGAGCGACGCCCACACGCAGCTCCGAGCGGCACTTTCTCCCGGCCTGGGCTCCGCGGCGCGCCCAGGGGGAGGCGCGCGAAGGGGGGCAGGCCCTCCTCAGAAGGCGGCGGGGCTTCTCAGAAGGCCTCCGACCTTCTGAGAAGGCGCTTCTTCGACCAGACGAAAGGGTGACCTTTCGCCGGCGTGACCTCTGGTGCGGGCCCGGTGCGGTCCCCCGATCGCCGACCGCGACGCGGTGGTAGCGTTCTGCGCGCTCGTGTTGGGCCCCCCCCGCGGCCCCCCACAGAGCCGCGCACCAAAGGTCACTCTTACCAAGGGTCCCTCTTGCGTGTAGGCACCTCCTCATCACGATGCCAATCTTAGGGATTCCCTTACTTTTTGGGGGCGAATCCCTAAGATTGTCATCGCCTTTTGGCGTGTCAATCTTAAGGGTAGGGATACGTTCGAGGCTGGTAAGACGTGTGTCTGCGGAGACGGCTCGGAACGCCTCGCAGGCTGGCCTCCCCGAGCCTCCCGAGCAGGCCCGCGCCCTCCGCAGTCCCCCCCCCGTCGTGGGCTCGCCGCCGATGGGTGCCGCCGAGCGTGTGGCCACCAGTCCCCGTGGGGCCCAGCGGAGGGTTGCCCCCCACGCAGATCCGCCCCAGGGCGGCGCCCCAGATCTTGGGCAGGTTTTGCCCGAGGTATACAGTCGGGGCCTTGACCAAAGGAACCCAAAATAAGGAACGAGGCCCCTATGTTCGATAAGTTAAACTTCGATTCCATATCGAAAACCCAGGGAACGCCTGAGGCAAGCTGCGAAACACCTGAGGAACGCGGAGCCCCTCCCCAACGAAAAGGGTTCCTTCGCCAGGGCCCCGACTGTGCACACGGCACAGCTGCCCCGACGGTGGGGCCCCACGTGAGAATCCTCCGAGGCTGTGCTGAAGCCGCCCTCGTCGTCGTCGTCGTGAGACGGTGGAGGCCCTCCTCCTGTCTCCCCCATGGCCCTCTCTCCTCCTCGCTCCGGCGGAGGCCTTCCTCTCGCCCCCTGCTCGGCCTCCTCCTCGTCGCCCTCCTCCTTCCCCCCCTCCTCTTTCTCCTCCTCCTCCTCCTCCTCCTCCTCCTCCTCCTGTTGTCCTCGTGCATCCTCTTCCCCGCCCCCCGTTGCCTGGGCGCGCATATCGACTCTCCTCGGCACCGCCTCCGCCCTGGCCGGCTGCCGACCACCAGATCGCGAAGCCGATGGGGCAATCCCGCGGGCCAGGTCACCGAGACAATTCCCGCGGGCCGCTGGGGCGTTGGATCGGGCCGTCGGGACACCCCCCGCCCCGCGCGGCCTCGCGCTGCGCGCCGCCGTACTACGGCGGGGGTCAGCGCGACGCCTGGCTCTGCCTCGAGGTGCTCCGCCTCAGCCCTGGAGCCTGCCGCTCTCTTGCCGAACTCCTGGAACGCACCCCGCCTGGGACTGCCTCACGCTTCACTCGCACACGTTCCGGTCGAGACATCCTCACGGTGTGTTTCGTTGGGGTGCGCAGTGGCTGCGCCGAGCACAGTTTCGCGATGGCCGCCCCGGGAGTGGGCCCCCGCTCGATACTTCCTTGACGAACGAGGCCCCCCGCTAAAGGCGTCCTCTTGATTTGTCCCCTTGAGGTGCTCAAGCGTTTGGCCTGCTACTGTGTGTCGATGGCCGTTTCGGATAGGAACATGAAGCGGGGGGCCTTTTGGGAGGGGTCTCCCGTTCGATTTTTTTGAGACCCACCCACAAACGGATCCCCGTTGGAGGTACCCTTCCGATCTGTCCCAGGTGTTCTGCCTGTTGCACAGTTTGCGTCTGGCCGCTTCGGATTGGAGTGGGAAGCCGGGGACCTTCAGGGAGTGGTCTCGCCGGGCACTTGCTTGCAACCCAGTCACACACGAAGCCCCGCGCGGGTGCCCAAGTGTCATGCCAGCTGAACTTTGCCGATGGCCGCCTCGGATTCGAACATGACGCGGAGGACCTTTAAGGAAGGGTCTCGCGCTCGAGATTAGTCCGCAATTCATTCGCAGACGAGGCTGCCATTCGAGACATCCTCCCGTTGGACGTCTGCAACAGTTTGCCGATGGCCGCCTCGATTGGAACATGCAGCGGGGGGACCTTTTGGAGGGGGCTCCCGCTCGATACTTCCTGACATGTAACCATATACGAGCCCCTCGCTCGAAACATCCTGACGAATTGCCCGCTTGGGGTGCTCAAGTGTCTTGCGTGATACACTTGCCCGACGACCGCCCCATGGTAGAACGTGCAGCGGAAAGGGCCTGTTGGGACAGGGCTTCCGTTCGAAGTTTGCCGAAACTCATTCCTGGAGGAGGCTGCTGCTCGAGACTTTTTCGATCTGAATGTGTGAGTGAGTCTGTGACTCTGTGTGCGATGGTGATGATGCTGATGATGCTGATGATGATGCTGATGATGCTGATGATGATGATGCTGATGATGCTGATGCTGATGATGATGCTGATTATGATGATGATTGTGATGTGATGATGTTCATGGTTATGGTGGTGGCGGTGATTATGCTGATGGCGATGATAATGCTTATGTTCAAGGTGTCGAAGATGATGCCTAGGATGTGCTGATGGTGATGATGCTGATGGGGTGAGGGCGTGTGTGTCTATGAATTCAGCGGTTGTTATGTGTGATATGGCGATGGCGATGATGCTGGCAGGTCAATGGTGATGGTGATGATGATGGTGATGCTGATGGTGCTGCTGGTGATGGTGGTTGTGATGATGGTGATGCTGGTGGATGTAATGATGACGATGATGATGATGATGATGATGATGATGATGATGATGATGATGATGATGATGATGATGATGATGATGATGATGATGATGATGATGATGATGATGATGATGATGATGATGATGATGATGATGATGATGATGATGATGATGATGATGATGATGATGATGATGATGATGATGATGATGATGATGATGATGATGATGATGATGATGATGATGATGATGATGATGATGATGATGATGATGATGATGATGATGATGATGATGATGATGATGATGATGATGATGATGATGATGATGATGATGATGATGATGATGATGATGATGATGATGATGATGCTGATGATGATCCTCAGGATCATGCTGCTGATTATGATGCTGATGATGAGGATGATGATGAGAACGCTGATAAGGATACTGATGCTGATGATTATGATGATGATGATGATGATGATGATGATGATGATGCTGATGATGATGATGATGATGATGATGATGCTGATGATGATGATTATGATGATGATGATGATGATGATGATGATGATGATGATGATGATGATGATGATGATGATGATGATGATGATGATGAGGATGATGAGGATGATGAGGATGGTGATGATGACACAATGATGATGGTACTGACGCAGGCAGGGGTGCTGTCCCTGTCCATGTGCTGGGTTTCTAGAGACGACAAAAAACTCCACCTCGCACGTGGCGAGAATATGTGGACGTTCGGAGGTCAGCGCGGACTCCTTGGATCGGCGCACGGCGTCGCGGAACTGTCCAGGCCTCCAACGTGCTGACCATGCCACTACGGAAGTTGTTCGCACCAGAGAACCAACTCTGTAAACATACGTTTTCGGAGGTCAGCGCGGATTTCACGAATCGGCGCGGGGCCCGCCTCGGCGACGCCTCCTCCTCCTCCTCCTCCTCCTCCTCCTCCTCCTCCTCCTCAACCACCTCCTCCTCCTCCTCCTCCTCCTCCTCCTCCTCCTCCTCCTCCTCCCGCCTCGGCGAGCATGCGCCTGGCGCCGCCCCCCCGCGCGTCCCGCGCGCGTTCGGAAGAGGGGGGCCCAGCGCCGATCGAGCCATCCGCGCGCGTTTATAGCTTTACTGGCTGTAATTATCTGATGGAAAAAACCTCCTGGAGCGACTTGTCCAGGAGAAGGAGGAGGAGGAGGAGGGAGGCGAAAGACGAGGAGGAGTAGGAGGAGGAGGAGGAGGGAGGCGAAAGACGAGGAGGAGTAGGAGGAGGAGGAGGAGGAGGAGGAGGAGGAGGAGGAGGGGACAGCTGATGGAAAAACCTCCTGGAGAGACCTGTCCAAGGGGGGGTTCTCCGGGGGGGGGGGTTGTCCCAATGTTTCGTGGGGTTGTCCAGGGGGTTGTCCAGGCCGCGTTGTCTTGCCGGCACGTGCACATATCAATATCATACGTACCATCA